CTGTGTTCATCCAGCTCTACACCTCGTTATCTCAGATTCTCCAGCATCTGCAGTTCCTACTATCTCTGCCCTACTTACGTTCTTGTTACTGACAGCCCTCAAAATACAGGAATGAGAGATAAAGATGAGGGATGCACAGCCGCTCCTTGTTATAAAGAGGAAAAGATAGATTGGAGAATCTCAATTTCCTTCTTTCGCTCTAGATAAATATTATTTCGACATGAACAAAATGAAGTTTGCATGCTGTTTGTTGTACACATAAAAGAACGCTAGTTATTATTTCAAAGTAATTCAAAATAAAGGGCCAGAGTGCTCACATCCAAATATTCTCAGAAAAAAAAAGTTCTGTAACAAGACCACGAGACTCTTCCAGAGGAGGTAGTCGAGAGAAAAATCAAGATATAAAATAAAAGGTGAGCTTCAATGGTCACCTAGCAGTTTCTCAGCTTTGATATTTACCAAATTTTCTTAACCTGGAAAATTAATTGATAGAATTGCAGTAAAGCAGTGCCTTCGAACTTCAGATTCAAAGCTTCAGTCGTGTATAAGACAGGAATAATATTCACAAAAATATTATCTACATAAAATTGTGGGTTACTTTTATTCCCAACTATATTTTAGCAAACCTACCAAATAAGCAGCTTTTGAGCCTTGATTACATGCATCCTAATTCCCTAATGTTTCATTCAACTCAAAAAAAAATCAATGCCCAAATTCTATCCCCAATTTGTGCCAAATTAGCCTATTGGACTTCCCTCATCAACCAGTTTCCAATTTCTTCTTCGTGATCACAAATACTATTGAAAATTACATGTTGATATTGAGTGAAAACAAGATTTGGACTCACCTGTAACCATAGGGTTAATGTTTCTGTCCAAAAGTCTTCAATGCTTTCTTGGTTATAAAATGGGTATCTGGCCAATGTAAAACTCAGATCATCTGTATCTCCAGTGCCTAGCCTACCTATGCTTGGTAGTCTAGAGTTTCTCCACTCTCCAACATCTCAAATTTGAAATTCTTAACCTGATGCTTAAACTCCTTCATGACCTGTTCCCCTTCTTTTCTCCAACTTCCTCTTGCCACCCCAGAAGACATGATTCTGCTCCTCAAATTTTGGCCTTTTGTGCATCCACTGTTTCCTTGCTTTATCATCAGTGGCTATGCATTCACTCATCGGTTTAGTCTAAAATTCCCCAAAACCCTCCATCTTTTCTTTCCTCCTTTAAGATCTTCAAGATTAACAAAGCTTTGTCACCCGTCACAATAATTGCCTCTTCATGGCAATCATTTGTCCAATTACACTTCTATGAAAGACATTGGGATGTTTCCCCCCATACTGCAGGTTTTAAACTACACAAAAATAAGTGGGAAAGTAAGTTGCAATGGAGAAATATATTTTTAAAAAATCACAAGTGGATTTAGATAAGTTAGGTGAATGGGCAAAAATTTAGCATATGCAGTTTAACATGGACACAAGAGGTTATCCATTTTGGTCAGAAAAATAGAAAAGTAACTTACTATCCAAATGGGAGAGAAATTTTGGTGCAGAGGGAGTGTCCTCATGCTAACTAACTAGAGAAAGTGATAAGGAAGGGAAATAGAATTTCGGTATTTTTTGTTCAAGGAATAGCATATAAAAATAGGTTTTGCTGCAGCTGCACAAGGAAATAATGAGATTGCACCTGGAATATTGCATTACTGGAGGAGGTATACAAGTGCACTGGAGGTGCTTCATTAGATTGAGACAAACCAGCCATCTCTGGTGAAATTGAGAGGTTTAGGCCTATATACTTTAGAGCTTAGAAGAGATCTAGTGGAGGTTTATAAGATATTAAAGATGATTGACAAAGTAGAGGTAGAGCAGATGTTTCCTTTTGTATTGCCTTAGACTGGACAATCTAGAACAAGAGGTCATAATTTTAGGAAAAGGGGTAGCAGATTTAAAACAGATGAGGAGGAAACACTTCTCTCAAAAGGGTCATGAATCTCGAATTCATTACCCTAGAATGTTGTGAATGCCAGGATACTGAGTAAATTTGGGATACACCCACAGATTTTTAATTAGTAATGGCTGAAGGGTGATGGAATGACAAGGCAGGCTCAAGGGGCCGAATTGCCTACTCCTGCTCCTGCTCCAAATTCTTATGTTCTATATAGCACCGGTTGCTCATCTTAGTCTTTGTTCCCCCCTACTCCGAAAGAAGAAATATCACCAATCACCATCTTGCATGGAGAATGATCACTTGAGGTACCAGATGAAACTCAGAAGGAATCAATGAAACCATACTGCAGCAAATAATCAGTGATTTTAGAAACAAAAAAAGGGTGGAAAATAGAATGAAAACAATCCCCTTCTTCCACAATTTGCAGAGAGAAAATTTGTTGTATGATAAACTGTTCACTATCACAGTTCAACAGTAGTGATGTATTTATAGGCCTCTCTAACGCCAAATGAAGAATGATTAATTTGCCAGGAATATAACAAATAGATTAGGTAACATTCCTTTATGCTTGATAGATTTTTGCATCACAAAATGCAATTACTCATGGGACAATTATTTTTAAAAACTTCAGGCATCCATCAATAAGATTTTTCTTTCAATCACAAGAATTATTTGAAATACATAAACGGTCCCTTTCTTGATATAACAGCGCATCTGCATAAGGATTTGATATGCTAACTAATTCATCAAATTTGGAATGAAAATATTTCCACATATTCACACTCAGTGAAAAAGCGGCTCCTTAAAGAAACACTCATCTGGGAGAATGGGCAACTTAGAATCATGGAAGTACAAGTATGAAACATGCAAAATGTAAATAATTATTATTTCCAAAGTAATCCCTGAAGTAAAATTAACTATGTCATTGTTCTTCAGGTTTCACATACAAGAGCATACTGAACTCCACAATTCACAAGGTACCCATGCAAAATGAAAATCACCACAAAGTTAACGAGCATATTCGGTTTTAACATGCTAAAACCTATCACCACTCCAGGAGGAATAAATGCACACCAATATCCAGACACTGATTTTATTTGTTGCTGCAGTAAAGAAAAGCCACTACTGATATCAGACAGATTTGTGGTATTTTTCTAAAAATTCAACAAAACCTAGTTTTATGTAACGTCCACTCAAAGGCTGTATTACAGAACTGGACAGGTGGGTTTCACAAGCAATAGCTTGTGGAATTTTAACTATAATCTCACATCTTCATCTAAACAATCAAACATTTACAGAAAGTACATGGGAGATATTCACGGTGCTTTGCTTCAACAGGTCTTTGAACAGGCAGCCTAATCACCTGCTTAATTAGTATTTGTTACAATGTCACTGTACAGTGGCTAAATGCCAACTGCAGATCAATTCCCAAGGTATTATTTATAAAACATGCATCTCAGTCTTCAGGAACTTACAAAGGCCCTCAGCACAAAGTTATTATGATAGAAAAAGAGTGATTCCTGACCTACACGAGGCTGTCAGCTGAGAAAAAGTGGAAACGTTGCAAAAAGGCATTCAAAAAAGCTGTACCAAATGCAAGGCAGTAACTAAAGAACACGTTCCTTTTGAGAATACTACTGTGGTAGTGTGACAAGTATGCTGATTTTTTTTTAAATTTTCCTGCTTCAAAAGAATATAGATGTTACAAAGGCAATAATAGTGTTCAAAAAGAAGATATACTTGGAGAGGTGTGGGATGTGGAAAAGATGCATGTTATTGGTACTGAATACAGAAGGGCCTTCTGCTCCAAATTCAATTACAGGAATTCAGGTTAAATTCACACTTCAGTTGTTCAATTCAGAGCAGAACAAAGGGAAAGATTAAAACTTTAACAAATCCTGAATGTGCAGAAATTCTGGAAGCCAATTCCTATCAGTAATTAAATATCATCAGGATTTAAATCTTGCAAGTTGGTCTAATTCAGTAACATTTACTTTGAAGATGCTTAAAGATGATTAAAGTCAATTTCCACAAGGCATATTGGCTCTACTTATGGAAGATGGTTTTCTAAGCAGCAAGTCCCCAATTAATTCAGCTTATTTCTTCCTTTCCCACCACGCCATCCCCATCTCCGTCCGCAACAGCAGTTCGCAGAAGTTGGCAGTTTCACAGGACCAAAGGAGCTTTAACCTTGTCTGCCATCTCTTTTCCAAGAAGCGTTTCAATAATTGCAAGGCCAAATTCGAAGCTGGTGCCAGGTCCCCTGCTGGTAAGGATGTTCCCATCTATCTGCACACGAGCTTCAGAGTAAATATAATGATCTGAAAGGGAATAAACAAGGCAGAGCAAGCATTTAACAGTACTGCTACAGTACTAATAAAGCTATGGGTAATGGTGACGAGACAAGATTGATTGTACTTTTATCAAAGATATTTTCAACATCTTGGGATAACATTGTGATTCCATCTACTTCACTTAGAGTAATCCATTCAGTTTATCCAGATATCAACTAGTTTGAGTTCAGACATTTAACACATTATTGCTGCAACACTTAGGTTTATGAAAATTGCATTCAAAAACAAAAAAAAAGTAGACTTCAACTGGATTCACACAGCTTTTGGCATTGAAGATCAAATTAATTCTTCAAAACCATAAGACCAAAGCAGAAAGGCGTTCCTTAGAAGGAACATGCAAGATGGAGGAGAAGCCACAGCAAAGTTTATCGTGCACAACCAAAAAACCATTTTTCAGTCGGAAGTCTCCAATAGTAAGCAGGAGCAGGAGAAAAGCAGGCCAATTTTCTAGACTACTCCCCCAGTGGAGAGCCAAGTGAAATACAGCAGCACTTCAGGAAGACAGCTTACCGCCTTCTCAAGGGCAACTAGCAACGGGCCATTAATGCTGGACCAGACAGCGACACCCAGATCCCATGAATTAATTTAAAAAAAAAAAACACTTTACTACCACCCAGCTGAGTTTCACAAATTCTGCAAGACCCGGCATCGAGCTTGGAAGCTTCCTGGTCTGTGTAGCGCTGCCATTACTTTAACCAGCTGAGCACACAAAAGCCGAAGTGCTGAACTCTGACAGGAAGTTAAATGCCTTCAAGACCTTAATAGGAGATTTCATTAATTAATCCCATTAATTTAAATACAGCATTAAAATAAATAGGACTCACCAACATGAAAATTTGATCAAGATTGATTGGGGATAGTCAGCATGGTTTTGTGTGAGGAAAATAGTGTCTCACAAACTTGACTGAGTTTTGAGGAAGTTACCAAGAAGATTGGCTGTTAAAAGAAAATGCATACTAGAATGAAGCAGTATCTGACCCATTACCTCCATTCATCATTTTATCCTTAGCCAGGGGATGGGTTGTGACTTTCTTCCCATAGCCTATTTCATGAGCCAACAGAGCAGTGGGGCCTACAAAACAAACAGAAGAATCATCTTATTGAACACAAAACATTAATTCTTTCTTTCTTCACAGATGCTACGAGACCTGCTGAGTTTCTTTAGCACTTTCTGTTTCTAAAATAAAGATTGAAAGGCATCTTTTTGCACAACTTGACACCAAACATCTGGTTAAACAACAGAATGCATGTAACTATACTGATTAATCAGGCTTGCAGGTCTGAAGATTTTGTAACTCAGTTTCACAGCCTAAAGTTTACATTAGCACTGAAAGAAAAATCACCATAAACATAAGAAATACAGAAGAAATAAACTTCTCTGAGCTCAAGAGCAAATGGAAAATGAATGCCTTCTTGATAGAGACTGGGAACTAACAAGCATGAGTTTTGTAACAAGTTGAATCTTCGGTAAATTATGCATTTTCCAAGTGTAGAAATTTTAGTTCAGAATTTATATCCATATCACAATGCCACCTTCAAAACAGTTTTCTCTCCCCCCTTGGAAATTCACAAGAATCCTTGGAAATGTGAAGGTCTCTTAATACAGGCTTCCATGTTGACATTTCCAAGTTGGTAGGTTTGTGCCTTATATATCTCTTCATCTATGTAAGTTCAGAAAAATGATAATCCTCAGCACAATATAAACTAAAAACACTGACCTCAAGCTGGAGGAAGTAGATAACCAGACATCTTGAAAACTTGTCCTGTACTCATTGGTTTAAAAAGATAATAATAAGCACACAGAAAACTACCTGCTCATAGAAATAGTAATTTTTAAAGAGGGCAGTGCTTGCCAGGTAACTGTCTTCATCAGACTGAAGGTGGAAAAAGACCCAGGGAAAGACTCCCCTAAACAGTACAGCCATAGAGCAGGGTGCCTCCATTATAAGTTGACATCAACACACTATCAACCTTTTGTTCGATCTCTAGTATCAGTGAGCTCTCCTCAACTGTCATAGGTTATATACTTCTGTCGATTTAGCCAATAGAGTACTACTACTTAATAAACCTTATAAGTAGTTGACTGGGTATTTTAGGTAACTGTAGCCCCAAATCTTATAGTGGTGTCCTAAAAGCACTGGTAAATGGTGGAGTTTATAATGAAATGCTGCCTCCAAACACAGGTCCAAATATTTAAGGTCAATTCCACCCAACATTCGAGAAGATATGGGAAATAAGGGAAGAAATTGAGAGAGCCCTTGCAAAAATATTTGCATCATCTATAACTACGGGTGAGGTGCCTGATGATTGGAGTGTGGCAATGTTGCATCTTTGTTTCAGAAAGGCTGTAAGGAGAAACCGGGGAACTATAGACCTGTAAGTCTGACTTCGGTTGTTGGTAACGATTTTAAAAAGATAGAATTTATGGACATTTATGTAGACAAAAATTGATTAGGGATAGTCAGCATGGTTTTCTGTGAGGAAAATAGTGTCTCACAAACTTGACTGAGTTTTGGAGGAAGTTACCAAGAAGATTGAGGAGGGCAGAGCAGTGGACTTTGTTTACCTGGATTTTTGTAAAGCCTTCGACATGGTCCCACATGGTAGACTAATTAATAAAGTTAGGTCACAGGGGATTCAGGGTGAGCTTGCCAATTGTATATCCAATTGGCTTAGTGGCAGGAGACAGTGATGGTGGACAGTTGCTTTTCAGACTGGAGGCCTGTCACCAGCGGTGTTTCATAGGGATCGGTTCTGGGTACTCTTTTGTCTGTCATTTCTATGAATGATGTGGATAAGAATATAGAAGGCATGGTTAGTAAGTTTGCGGATGACACCAAAATTGGTGGCATTGTAGACAGTGAAGAAGGTTTTCTAAGATTACAAAGGGATCTTGATCAACTGGGTCCATGGGCTGAAAAACCGCAGATGGAGTTCAATCTAGATAAATGCAAAGTATTGCATTTTGGTTCAACAACAAAGAGTAGGGCTTATACAATTAATGGTAAGGCCTTGGGCAGCATGTAGAACAGAGGGAACGAGGGGTTTGTGTACATAGTTTTTTGAAGTTTGTGTCACAGATAGACAGGGTGGTTGAAAAAGCATTTGGCATGCTTGTCTTCATTGCTCAGTCCTTTGAGTATAGGAGCTGGGAAGTCAGATTGTGATTGTGCAGGTCTTTGGTGAGGCCTCTTCTGGAATACTATATCCACTTCTGGTTGCCCAGTTGTAGGAAGCATATTATTAAGCTAGAGAGGGTTCAGAAGATATTTACTAGGACATTGCCAGATATGGAAGGTTTGAGTTATAAAGAAAAGCTGGATAGGCTGGGACTTTTTCACTGGAGCATTGGAGATTGACAGGTGACCTTATAGAGGTTTATAAAATAATGAGGGGTATAGATAGAGTTAATGGGTAGCTATCTTTTCCCAAGGACTGGGGATTTCAAGGCCAAGGAGTACATTTTTAAGATGAGAGGAGAGAGATTTTAAAAAGACATAAGGAACAATTCTTTTCTAAAAAAAAAAAAACCACAAGAAGGTGATTCACGTGTGGAATGAACTTCCAGAGGAAGTGGTGGTTGTGAGTAGTGTTTAAAAGACATTTGGATAAGTACATGAATAGGAAAGGTTTGGAGGGAAATGGGCCAGCAGGCAAGTGGGACTTGTTTAGTTTGGGATTATGGTCAGCGTGGACTGGTTGGACAGAAGGGTCTGTTTCTATGCTGGATGACTCTAACAGGCAAAAGTTCACCGAAATGTTTGAACCATAGTTTGTTCCTATCTACATTTGTGGAAACTTCGCCCGTCAGTTATTATCTATGGCCTATAGTTTTTTTTAGGATGGGGAGCAAGTTAAAAAATTCACAGCAGCAAGCTAGACATAAGCACATTTTTGTACCATACAAATACCAATACCACCTTTCCATCAGAAAGAAAATAGCAGTAAGAGTACACTGTTCTCAAAAAACAATAAGCAAGCACTGGATTCCCTTAATAAACAAGAATCATATGTACATGGCCTGCAAGTTTGAGAGCCAAATTGCTTTGCAGTGTCAAATGTATACAATGGTGGTCTAAAGACTTCAAGGCAAACCGATAGAACATCAGTATCTTTCTTCACAATCCATTCATGCTGGTGTGACTGTAACCATATGAAAGAGCTGTTTAGTGTTCTGAAGGTCAGAACAAAGGAGGTTTCATTTACTTATCCTCTCAGCTATCACCTTGGAGGGTTGAAATATGCAGTCCAAATATGAACACATTTACTTTCTCAGATGCTGACAGCCTATTTATACCAAGTGTATCTGTTGAAGCTTACATGATTTATTACACCAGAGTTCTATTCAGATAACAGAACAAATATGAAGTGAATACAAGGAGCATCTTTGCAGGTGTCAATGCAGTACAGGTGTCTTTTCACTGTCTGTGTTGCACATTCAAGAAACAATTATTATTGGAGTTTAAAGATACTGCACAACATAACAGAACATCCAATTGAGCAACTACATTTAAAGAAGCCTATCAATGGATGTGAAGCAACGTGAAATATGCCATGTAAATACGAGTTCATTGCCTTTGGTTAGGACTGCAATAAATTAAAATACACACACACACACACCGCCAGATTGGCATTCATGCAGGAACAACAAGCATGATGTAGCTCATTTAAAAATTCAGTGGGGAGAAAAGAGAAACCATTCAGAGCTGACAAGGTGACAACTTACAGGCGGTTAAACATAATGTAATAGGTGAATGGCAGTTGGCATCATGTCCTAATGTACCTGTAGCAGCCAAAGCCCCAAAGTTTCTTTCTCATCCTTCCAAATGCTCCTTAAAGTGTACCTCTGATTAGAGGCAGAAAATCACCTTGTGCTGCTCTATTATCTCCCAGCAAAAAGAACTCAGCAGCAGCATAAGTGACCAGGAATTTAAGATATCTACAGAAAAGAGCTGGAATTATTTTTTAAATAAAGAGTCAGTGCTTGCTTGCAAATAGTCCTTTACTCTTTCTGCATCCTGATGCCATCTTGCATAGACTACAACAAAGCTTCTGCTTTGAGGTTTATCCAGGAAAGAGACAGATAAGGAATCAGTTAGGGATAAAGTGGTCTCAATGCATCTTCTCGTGGGAGGGACAAAAAACTGCTGAGTCATTTGGTTGTTCACATAGGTTGCCATTTGCATCAGTCCAGAAGATTGCACACAGGTCATTCAACCACGCAACACAGCACAAGACAGATCTCATGTAGCATCCCAGGTTCAATAATTCTTATTACATGTTTGCTGATCCCCAGAGAATGATTTCCCAGACGCTGGGCTCAGCAGCCTTTCAAACTAAATCCTACAAGAAGGAGTAAGTTCAACTTTAAACTTGGCTGATGTTTATACTTGAACTCAATCTAATTGAATCCAACACTCTCAGTCAGACCATCAGTAAGAAAAACTGGCCAAGGAATGACCCTTTTCTTCAGTCTCATGCCTCACTTAGTGGTCAGGAATGGAGCAGTGCTCAGAAAAACCATTAAAGCCTTTCGAGAATGGATGCTAAGCAACCTTACCCAGGAAGTACTGTGGTTAACAAACAAGACAAATGGGGGTAGTAAAAGATACCACAAAGACACTTAAAAGCTTAAAGAAACATGAACGAACTAGACAGGCACTCTAGCACTTCATACAAGTGTTGCAGGTTTGAATCTTGCAAATGGAAAAGCAAAACAGGAAAAAACACTGTAGGCTGCTCATATTGCAATGTGAGGTTACTCAAAGTCAACAGTAAGGTTCACTTCACACCCTGCTTCCTGTACAGACTATTTCATTTTCCCGGTTCTCCAGTTCATTGTCTTGATGATGCCAAATTCGACAAGGAGGCCTCCAAAATGGTCCACCTTCTTCAACTGAGGATTTCCCAGCATTTTGGTTGACTGAAGGCCCTCAGCCAGGTCTGACCCATCACCCACTCTCTTTCCTCTCACAACAGCTATAGGGTCCCTCTCATCCTCACTTACCATCCCATCAGTATCCACATCCATAGGATCACTAGCCACTATTTCCACCATCTCCAGCAGGTTACCGCTACGAGACACATTCTCCTCCCTTCCCTTGTCAGCCTTCCACAGGGACTGTTCCTTCCAGGACATCTTGGTCAACTCCTCCTTCACTCCCAACACCACCACAGCACCTTCCCTGCAATCACAAAAGGTGCAACATCTGCCCGTTTTCTTCCTTCCTCCTCACTATCTAAGGCCCAAACACATTCCAGGTGAAGCAGCATTTTTATCTGCTCTTCACTCAATCTAGTCTACTATATTCGCTGCTCACAATGTAGTCTTCTCTGCAGTGGGGAAAACGAAGCACAGACTGGGTGACTGTGGACAGAATATGTGCTCTACAAAACAAAAAAAAACCCTGAGCTTCCAGTTGTCAGTCACTTCAACTCACTATCGTATTCCCTAGACAACATCTCCGTCTCAGGCTTGCTGCAGTGTTCCAGTGAAGCTCAGCACAAGCTGGAAGAAGAGCACCTTATTTTCCGCTTGGGAGCTCCGCAACCTCCTGGTCTTAATATTGATTCAACAATTTTAGACCTTGAGCACCTTCTCCCATATCCTTAGCCTAATCCCCACACACCAGGCCTTGTCATCACATAGGCTGCTACCACACACAACCCATCATAAATTACTAATAGTCCCCATTAGCAGCTATCCATTCGCCCAGGTTGACCTTCAGAATGGCAGACGGAGATTAATTCAGATAAATGCAAAGTGTTGCATTTTGTTAAGACAAACCAGGGCAGGACTTACAGTTAGTGGTAGGGACCTGGGGGAGTGTTGTTGAACAGAGACTTAGGGCTGTAGACACATATTTCCTTGGAACTAGCATCCCTGGTAGACAGATTGGCGAAGGCATTTTGCATGCTTGCCTTCATAGGTCAGAGCATCCAGTACAGGAGTTGAGAAGTCTTGTTACAGCTTTACAAGATATTGGTAAGGCCACATTTGGAGTACAGTGTACAATTCTGGTTGCCTTGCTGTAAAAAGAATGTTACTAAAACAGGAAATAGTGAAAAAAAAATTTACAAGGATGTTACCAAGACTGGAAAGTTGGAGTTATAAGGAGAGGCTGGAACTACTTTCCACGGATTGTACAAGTCTGGTGGGATGACCTTATGGAGGTTTATAAAATCATGAAGAGCATAGATAAGGTGCATTGCTAGGGTCTTTTCCTCAGGGTAGGGAGTACAAAACTAGAGGGCATAGATTTAAGGAGAGAGGGGAAAGATTTAAAAGGGACCCAAATGGCAACTTTTTCACACATAGTGGTGCGTACATGGCATCAGGTGCCAGAGGAAGTGGTAGAGGTGGGTACACTTACAACACTCGGACAGGTACTTGGTAGGAAAGTCTAGAAGATATGGGCAAAGGCAAGCAAATGGGACTAGTTCAGTTTACGAATTCTGGTCAGCACAGACGAGTTAGGCCGAAGGGCATGTTTCCCTCTGTATAGCTCTATGATTCTCGTCCTTTGTCTGTCCAACTGTTTTTCTTTCTCTTTGAACTCTACCTCCACCTATCATTTACTACCCCTCCACTCCATCTTCTATATAAATACCAACGTTTTCCTAGCTATTATCAGTTCTGAAGAAGGGTCACTGGACCCAAAACATTAATTCTGCTTTCTATCCACAGATGCTGCTCGACCTGCTGAGTATTTCCAGCAATTTCTGTTTTTGTTCCCGATTTCCAGCATCCACAGATATGTTTTTTTTTAAAAATCACAAAGTAAGGTACTGGCTCCACCTCCACCGTTTGAAGATGGAAGCACTTATTAACAAGGGCCACATTTCTCTGTATTAATCTTGAGGTTTAGACAAACAAAAATAATCTAAAACATTGAAGAACACCGTAGCCATGCTTTAAGTATCAATTTCTAAATGCCCCACACATTTTGCCAACGTCTTCCTGCAATAAAGCGAGTTTAACCATCACTTCGCGACATTTAATGGCATTGCCAAATCACCAAGAATTAACATACTGTGGTTTTTACTGACTGGAAACCATACTGGAGCAGCTGCATGAAAAGTGTAGCTTCAAATAGATGGCAGCAGCAAGGAATATGAATGTACATGTATGTATGCGCACGTGCCCTTTATCTATCTATGATTTACACTCAAGAAGCTTAACACCATTAGGACAAAGCAGCTTGCTTGACTGGCCCCCCATTCACTTTCAACATTCAATCCCTCCACTGTCAATGCAAAAATGGGTGCAAGATGTATAACACCGAAAATGCACTGCAGCAACTCAAGGTACCTTGTAAGACAAGTGCAGCAAATGCATGGGAACACCAACTGAACATTCCCCTCAAAGCCACACCATCCCACTTGGAACACATAACCACCTTTCCTTCACAGTCACTGGAATAAAGGCCAGAATTTCCAAACAGAACCATGAGTCTACCCACTTATGAACTGCAGCAGTTCAAGAGAGCAGCTCACCACCTATTTCAAGGGCAAATACAGATGGGCAACAAATGCTGGCCCAGCCAGCAACACCCACATCCTATGCAATAAAAAAAATTCTCAAAGCATTAGTCATCCTCTAGTACTTGATCCAAGTGTCCATTCTTCATGTGAACGCACTGTCATTGCACTGACTGCAGGTTAATATTACACACCCAGGGTCATTCCTAATCAGCTCAAACAAAAAAAAAGGAGATCTTAAAAGCTGGTATTAAAACATTCTACAGTAGAAAACGCCAAAGATGCACAACCACTGACAGAAGTAATTTATCCTCATCTGAGTTCTAAATTGATCAGCGCCTGAGCTCAAGACTCTGGTCCATGTTTTAGATTCCCTATTTACTGTAATAATCCAGAAGTACTGAGACACTTCCAGAACCTCCAACACTCTATGGATAAAGTCACAAATTAACATAATCTTTCTGGTCAGTATGGCTCTACCAGTCACTTGTTTTCAACCAAATCAAGGGAAATGAGCACAGGGAGTTACACTTACATGTGTCAAAAAAGCCATACCTGCGCAGATAGCAGCTATCAAACCATTCCTGCAATCCTGGTCCTTCAGCACTTCCTTTACAGCTGGAGACTGGCAAGATAAATAAAAAAGTAAAGTTTCAATTAGGATACTGTGAATTTGCAAGTTAATAGTTTCTGTGGCAGTTAAATTTCTCACTTGTCAGGAGACAATTTGCATTTTGTATTTTATGACATTGCAGAACTTGAGAACATGCTCCAAGAATCTGTTCTGAAAGTTGTAAAATGTAAAATGAACAGAGAGATATTGGTATTTATATACTGAACTCAAAAAAGGTGCAAAAGACAAATTGATAAAGATGGTTAAAAACAAAGTAACTTGGATTTATAAATTCAGGCAAGTAATATAAAAACAGTGAGATCATGCTAGAATTCTATAAGTTACTGATTAGTCCTTAGCTGGTGCATTGCAGACAATTCTGGACCCTAGATCCAAGAATGGTTCAATGGCATTTGAAAGGGTGCAGGTTTACCTCAGCTACGAGGAAAGGTTCGAAAAGTTAACATCAGTTTTGTTGAAACGGAGAAAGTCAACAAGTGATCAAAGAGAGGTTTTCATGAGCAGGTATGAAATAGCAGCAATGGGGAGGTAGAGCTTGGTGTTGTCACTAGGTATACAGACTACTCACCACTGGAGCATTTCCCAGCAGGGTGTCATCATTCAGCACATCTGTTTTACACATCTTTGGTCCACCTGTTTGCCTACACAATTGTAATTATGCCTCAAAAATAATTAACTGTCTAGAAAACACTTGGGACTTGAAGGGGTGCCATATAAATCTAAGTTTTTTCTTTTGTAGAACGCAAGAAATAGTAGAAATGGACCATATGGCTCTTTGAGCTTGGTCTACCTTTCAACAGGATAATGGCTGAACTTGGGCTTCAAATCCACTTTCCCACTCACTTACCAATGTTCTTAGATTCCCATGAGACATTGAATACCTTTAAGACTGGAAGAGACAATGATGGAGCAGCTATAACATTCTACAGTAGAAAATGCCAAAGATGCACAACCATTGACAGAAGTAATTTATCCTCATCTCAGTTCTAAATTGATCAGCACCTGAGCTTAAGACTCTATCCCATGCTTTAGATTCCCTAACCAGTCAGAACAATCTTTGAGTCTACCCTATCGACCTCCTTGAGAACCTTGCATTTTTCATCAAGATCACCCCTTGTTCTTCAAAATTCCACAGAAAACAGAAAATCAGCCGGAACAGATACTTCCTATGATAGGGACCAACGTAGGAAATCATAACTGAGCCACCTACAATGCAAATATGTCATTCCTTAAAGTGGAAACCAAAACTGCACGCGATATTGCAAGTGTTGTCTCACTAAGTCCCGTACAATTATAGCAAGACTTCCTTACTTCTGTACTCCAACATGCCACTCACCTTAATTGCTTCACATACCTACACGCTAAGTTTTTACATTCAAACGTATGAGCACACCGAAGCCTCTGAACAGTAACATGTATAAAATTTTACCCTATCAAAACATATTCTGCTTTTCTATTCTTGTAAGCAAAATAAATAACTTCACACTTCCCCACATTATGCTCTTATATATTCCACCTCATTTCCCACTCACCTAACCCTTTCTTACTCATTATAGCTTGTGTCCTCCTCACAGCCTACATTTCCACATTGATCAAAAAACCTAACAAGCAAATTGAAAGGGCAAGAAACAATGTCACCCATTAGGTAGTTTTTCTAACAGTAACAAAGAAAATTATGGAACAAGATACATATTTTCAAAAATTCATAATTCTGCTTTTTTTTTATTTGAACCCACCTCAGCTAAGTTCTGGGCTCCGAGGTTTCCTCCAGGTAATATAATCACATCATAAGGACCCTGCAAAAAGCAAAACCAAGCCAGCTGTTAGCCAATATTCAAACAAACAACTAACACAAATTTGATTAATGTGCTCCGCATTGCTCGTGGCTTTGGATCCGGGACTTTGTCCTGTCTAGTGAGGTTTTTTGCTTTGCCTAGGCACTGCAAAAATCAACTCATAATATTCAAACCCAATCATAACAATAAAAGGTTATTTTTAGCCAGAAAAAAAAAACATAAGAACACAGAACTCAAAACAGACACTGCTAGTTTCTAAGCCCACAAATGGGTATACTACATTGCAGGTAGATCAGCAATGATCTCATTGAATAGCAAAGCAGACCCAACCCAAGGGGCTGAATGGCCTTCCTGTGCTCTTCTTATCGTCTTACTATGGTCTTATGGAAGCAACCTCTAGCTATTCAACTGCAGAAGCCATGGCAAACCCTTTACCTCAGAATCTCCTAGCTAATAACCAGCCTGCAACAATATGATCTTCCTTCGTCTCAATAAATATCTTTTAACTGTACCGGTTAGCTAAAATACAGGTACAAAAATTAATTGTCACTTTTAGTAATAGTTGTGAAATAAACTAACCTTTGATCATGCCCAAGACTAAGCTTTGCTGCTTGTTATTTCTGCAGGGAATCTGGGTTTACAGGAATTAGGATGGTGTACAGGGTCGGGAATGGGAAATAAATGCAGGCCTCATCACCAGAGCTCATATCGCACAAGCGAATTTAAAAAAGTGCTGTTGAAATATTTCAAGGCTGTGAAGATGACATAGCTCAGCATCACAATGTCATGAACAATTTGGGTGTGTCTGGAGTGGCCCATGAGCTGTGCATTTATATAGCTCATTTAACTTCCTTTTTAGCTTTGTGTGCGTTCCAACTTAAGACATAACCAACAGCAAGGCCTTAGTCTCGGGTGAGATTAAAGGTTAGTTTAAATCTATTTTATAACAAAACTTATTGCTCAAAAATCAGCATTTAAAAAAAGACAATTAGCTAAAATACCGATACAGAAGGTTAAAGTAGGTACAGTTGAAAGATACATAAAGATGGAGGAAGATCTGTCTATTATTGCAGGCTGGTAATGAGCTTTAAGATTCCGAGGTAAGGGGTTCCAATGCCTTATGTAGTTGAACAGCCGGGGAGGTTGCTTCAATAAGGTTGCCGTAAGAAGTAGAAGTAGAAGCAGAAGCAGAAGTAGGCCATTCAGCCCATCAAGTCTGCTCTTCTATTCAACGAGGTCATGGCTAATCTGATAATCCTCAACTCCACTTTCTGGCCTTTCCTCCATAACTTTTGATTAACTTACTGTTTAAAAAAAATCCATCTACCTCAGGTTTAAACATACTTAATGACCCAACCTCTACATTCCTCTGCAGTAAAGAATTCCACAGATTCACTACCATCAGAAGAAATTCTTCCTTAACTCGGTCTTAAAATGTGCAAGCCCTTACCTGAGATTATGCTCTCTGGTCCTAAGCTCTCCCTCAATGAGAAACAATCTTTCTACATCTATCTTGTCAAGTTCCTTGAGAATCTTTAATGTGTCAATTAGGTCACCTCTCATTCTTCTACATTCCAACAAGTACAGGCCCAATCTACTCAACCTCTCTTCATAAGACAGTCCCTCCATACCTGTTAAGAGCCCAATGAACCTTCTCTAGTTTGCCTCTAATGCCATATATCATTTCTTCAAAAAGGGAACCAAAACTGTTCACCGTATCCTCGTGCCTTGTATAGTTTTAGCAAACAGTTCACAGCAGGTCAACTGAACAGAACATGTTCTGAGGAAGGGTACAGTCTCCTTTATTTTGCTTTTACTAAATTAGGGGTTGTAGCCCCTGCAGGCAAAGTTCTCTCTAAGTTGCACAGCTGTGCACATGCATAGTTGCTCAGGAGCGCACACGCACAGCAACTGGCACATCGACATCATTCACAGCATTGACTTCTGGTTCTGGAAGTCACTAACATATATGGACCTCAGACATCTGGTGTGAACAAAGAAAATTAAAATCAGGATAGCTGCTTATGCCCTAGTTCAGCCTAGTTGTCCTTAGATGGTTTGCCTTTCAGCCCCTGTTGAAAATGATCTTTCTTCCTCTGACGGTGTCTCTCAAAGGTCCTCGGAGTTTTGCTTAAGGTGGTGTCTCAGTGTTTATTGTAAAGACTGAAAGCTTAAGATGGCTACTATATTAACTTTTGATGATTCATTTATTCCTCAAAGCAATACCAACTATGCTTGAATGCCCTGGAGGAGTACTTCCAGTCTATTTCCTCAGAAGCTTTGAATTCTCATCTTCCAAAGGATCCAATATGTCATCCAATGGTTTACTGAATTCAAAATGCCTCCCTTTGTGATTAATGCCAAGATGCCAAAAAACAGACAAACGGATTTGTTAACAGCAAGTTGAAAACGACAATCATGTCTGGGGACAACTTTGCAGGATTGTGTCTGTTTTTATAGACAGCTTGCCCCTTCTTTACAAAATATGACATAATTAACCGGTTGTGACACAGCCAACAGGCCGTCAAGCCAAATGGAGACAGAGCATCAATGAGAACTCTTACATATCTTGACTCTACTATTGGGTTACCTCAACATGTGCTAAATCTCATACAATTGTGATCTAAAATGATTATCTAAGAGTTCGGAGGAAGGGTCACCGGACCTGAAACATTAACTCTGATTTTCTCTTCACAGATGCTGCCAGACCTGCTGAGCTTTTCCAGCAACTTCTGTTTTTGTTCCTGATTTACAGCATCCGCAGTTCTTTGGATTTCTATCTAAGAGTTTCATTTAGAGATATGAATGAAGTGGAAATTAGCACGGATTGACGAGTGCTTATCGTGTTGTAAATGGTGGTGGATGATTAAAAAAATTAATGGAGGAGGCAAATCATTGATTAGCCCCTCTATAATTATGGCGGAGTCCAGCAGTGAGTGAAAGTCAACCTTATTCAGCCAGAAGTATCAAATGAATGATCCATCTGAGCATCTGCCATATGTTCCCAGCATCACAATTGCTGCAGCAGTGTCTGTTCAGTAAGAACCTGCACGCTGATGTTTAAGTTCTGCTAGGGCCACTCAGTTCCTGACCTCATTACAGCTCTGGCTCAAACATTAACAACAGAGCTGAACTCCAGAGGTGAGGTGGAAGTGACAGCCCTTGATATCAGGCCACAGTTGACCAAGTGTGGCATCAAGAAGCCCTAACAAAACTGGAGTCAGTGGGAATCAGGGAGAAAACTCTCCGATGGTTGGAGACATACCTTGCATGCAGGAAAATGGTTGTGGTTGTTGGAGATCACATTTCTCAGCCTCAGGCCATCTCTGCAAGAGAGTTCCTCAGTGTAGTATCCTAGGCTCAACAGTCTTTTCTGAAGAAGGGTCCCGAAAGGTCAACTTTCCTGCTCCTCTGATGCTGCCTGGCCTGCTGCATTCCTCCAACTCCAGCATCTGCAGTTTTTACTCTCAAAAATCTTCAAATGCTTTATCAAGAACCTTCCCTCCATCATAAGGTCAGAAGTGGGGATGTTTGTCAATAATTGCATAATGTTCTGCACCATTCGCAACTCCTCATGTACTGAAGCACTCCATGTCCAAATGCAAAAAAAACCTGGACAATATTCAGGCTTGGGGTGATAACTGGCTAGTAACGTATACGCCACACAAATGCCAGCCAATGACCATTTCCAATAAGAGACAATCTAACCACCACTCCTTGACATTTAACGGCATTACCATCCCTGAATCCCCCACCATCAGCTTCCTGTGGATTGTCACTAAATTGCACTAGCCATATAAATACAGTGGCTACAAGTACAGGTCGGGGCTAGGAATACTGCAGCAAGTAATTCATCTCCCAAAGCCTGTGCAATATTTAGAACACACAAGTCATGAATGTCACGGAATACTCCACACTTGCCTGGATGGAGTGCAGCTCCAACAATACCAAAGAAGCTTGACATCACCCAGGGCAAAGCAGCCACTTGAATAGTACCACATCCAAAAACAGTCAGCCCCTCTATCACCAACACTCAGCAGTATGTACTTACAAAATGCAATGCAGAAATTCACCAAAGATCCTTAGGGCCTTCCAAACCCAGGACCAGAAGGGAAAAGACATTAGATACATGGGAACACTACCATCTGCAAGATCCCCTCCAAGCCACTCACCATTTTGACTCAGAAATATATCGCCATCCTCCACGGTTGCTGGACTGAATTCTGGAAGTCCCTCTTGAACAGCATTGTGGGTCTACCTTAGCACATGGACTGCTGTGATTCAAGAAGGCAGTCCACCAGCAACCAGAGGCAGGCAATAAACATGGCCCAGCTGGCAATGCTCATGTACCACAAGTGAATTAAAAATAAAAATGTCAGCAAATTCAATAAATGT